TATATATGGCTCTATCTATGGGTGTTCACTTCGTCTTTATGACACCCGTGGATATATATATATATATATATATGGCTCTATCTATGGGTGTTCATTTCGTCCTTATGACACCCGTGGATATATATATATATATATATATATACCTTGTATTGCAAGACCGACGGGTGCACGATACAGTATGCATCGGTCGGTTATGTCGTGGAGTGTGAATTATCTAGCGAATCAAATATATACACCCAAGTCGATAATAGACTAAAATTGCTAACCTCCTGGTCCAAATCGAAGATAGACGAGCGTAGCTAAGCAAGTTGCATGTGTAGGTCGTGTGAGTGTGTTTCACGCCGGGCCCCCTCGCTTGGGCGTGGGCAAAATCACCAAGGAAGAGGCGGCATCATCTTACGGCACGACCAAAGAGGTCCAGCTGTACGCGGGCAGGGGCGTCCATGCGCACTACGAGGAACTGGCGCGACTAAGCGCCCAGAGTTTCATCTCAATCGACATTATCAGCGTTGCCAACCCGTACAGCGACTTGGCCGAGTATATATATATATATATATATATATATATCAAATTTAATATGGCTTGACCGTAGAGTCGCCCGGCTCGCAGAACTGACGGGCGGGTACGTACTCCACTTGCCCCAGTTTGACAAGGACAAGCCAGAACACTTGCAGTACACCAAGCAGTTGCTCCGCCACTTGCTCGGAAAGCAAAAGGCCATGGAGGCGGTGCTCAAGGTCCGCGTCTCGTCGGGTCTTCGCGTCGACTCGATCTACGGCAACTACATGCCGAGTGCCGCCAGTGACGACGAAGTGAATATGGCACTTGTGGACCAAGATACGGCAGTGGGCGTGACTTTTGTCTATGATGGCAAGCTCCCACAAGAGCACATGTACATCCAGGTAAGCTAACAAATTTGCCCTATATATATATATATCTGACAAATATATATATATCTAGGTGGCGCTGCTGTATACACGCGAGGACGCTGTGCGGTGTGTGCGCGTGCACAACTTGGCCTTGCCGGTACACAAACACATATATATATTTATTCGATAGTCGTAAACAAAACGACCTACTACTTGTTTAATATATATTATTATATATATATATATTCTAGGTGGCGAATTTGGTCACGAATGTGTTTCGTCATGCTGATTTGGACGCCACGTGTGCGTTGTGGCAGCGCATGGCGATCAAAGTCATCCGCGACAAGTCCATTATGAGGTAATATATATATATATATATTAAATATATATATATATATTTCCAACCAATACACGTACTTGTATGTGTAGTGGCAACGGCCAAGCGGTCAAGGAGAAGCTCGTGGACGACTGTGTCCACGTGCTGTCCAACTACCGCAAGCACTGCGCGACCAACAGCTCGTCTGGCCAGCTAATCCTGCCTGAATCGCTCAAGTTGCTGCCGCTGTACACCCTCGCAACCCTCAAATCCCGCGCACTTCGCAATAACTTGACGGGGCAGCAGGCGCGGGGGCTCATCGACGTGCGCGCGGACGAGCGCGTGATGCTTCTGCATCTGTTGAACTCATTTCCAGTCGAGCATGCCGTGTCGGCTGTCTACCCCAAGATGTATGCGCTGCACGACTTGACCGAGGAGGTACAATATATATATATATAGTCCAGTTAACCTTATATTTGGTTACTTTTTGATGCGGATGTTTTCTGCATCGATTGATATTTGGTGTACGGAATATATGTTGTATATCAAGAACAATATGTTCACTGTGGTGATACTTATCACACTAATTTAACAGTCATACACTATTTCTTTGTATATGGGTTGAATCGATGACGAGTTGCTGCAATCGGATTGGCTCAATTCTTTTGCATATTTGGATACATTCATACTCTAGTTTTGAATAAAGGATAATATATCGATTCTTTTTTTTTTTTTTTTAGAGCTATATATATATATATATATAAGGTGACAATGAATATATGTTGGCTACCTACAAAGTAGATATAAGACGACGTTATGTCGATGTTGTTGGAATGAAAAAAGGGTAATTTATTGTGCTTTCGAGTGAATTTTCATTGTGTTGTGGCGTGGTTTCTCGTTGGAATTTAAATCGATTTGATTGGCTACCTCAGATGATCTTAAAATTACTAACCAATCAAAACCATCTCAATGAAATTCAACAACCAATCAGATTGATTGTGGATCGGTTTGCGCGATTATTCGATTGCACCCCATATTTGTACTATCAAATCGACAATAATATATATATATTTCAATACATTTAGGTGGGCACACTGGACGACAAGGGCGACCTGATTTTGCCGGCGGCGTTGCCCCCCACGGCGGAAAAGTTGGAGGAGAATGGGCTCTTTCTGCTACACTCGTCCACGTACATGTACCTGTTTATTGGGGCCAAGACCAACCCGACGCTGCTTGAGGATGTGTTTGGCGTGTCTCATATCGACACGTCCGAGCAGGTAATATCAAGATATAGATGTTTACGTTTTAATTGGGTCGATAGTCGGTGAATTTGGTGGGCGACGCCGACCAATCAGGCGTGCTGCGGACGCAAATTCAAGCGGTGATTGGCTACTTGCAACTGCAGTCGCCGGTGCCTTCGCCGCTCGAGATTATGAGTAAAAGTGACTGGCGGAGCAACCGGTTCCTCAGTGCGCTCGTGGAAGATCGCACGCGCAACGAAGTCTCGTACGTCGAGTTTCTCTGTCAAGTGCACAAAAAGATCCAGTACAAAATGATGTAAACCCTCGGACAAACTAGCTAGTACTAGTACTAGTAGTACTAGTACTAGTACAGTAGGGTGGTGGATGGAATAGTATGAATTACTAGTAGTAGTACCATGCAATTCGATCGTGTTTTGTCGTCTTGGATCGTTTGACGAGGGAGGAAATCGAAAACGGGCGATAGTGGCGAATCTAATTGGCTTGGATTGAAATCATTCCGCCAATCAGAAGCTACGAACGAAATATTCATATTAATAGTATACTATTAATACTATACTACTACTAGTAATGCTATGTAGTATTACTATTAATTGTACATCTGAATAATCCACATATTCAGGGCTGTTGTCAGATTTACTGAGATCCGAACAAGTGCAGCTTCCTGTCAACGCTCGGTAGGGTCGAATATTGTGGGGATTTCAATTCTAGAGCCCAACATCGAGACATGACTGTAACGAGATATCACAAGCAGACTATTTTGCAAATGGGGATATATATATATATTCCCAATGAAACCATCCAATAACTGTTGGAATTTTCAAGCGGCTGCTATACGTATAGTTATTGCAAATCAGGAAATTTCACATCTTGGACAGTTTTCGATACGTAATTGGACAACATGGGCAACCTTTAACTTCAAGCCTTTTTTAAGGTAGCACATCATATCTAGACGAGTTGTACACACCAAGTATATACTACAGTAGTATATATATATATATATATACTTCGAGTAAGTATATATGATACAAGTCTCAAACTGTGCCTTGAGGTACTAGTGCAGTACTATTATATACAAGGTTTTATATTCAACATTCTATGATATACCTGATTGAGTCGTCGTCGACTGAGTGCATCCTACTAGTATGTACTAGAACACTACTATGACGGACGTCGTACGTACTACACATGATACTATAGCAATTACTGGTAACTACTAGTACCTTTCAACTACTGTACTACATGGATTCCCTATTGTCCAGTGTATATGGCACATCAGTGTCCTTGGATTGGTCGAGGTCACTGTGAAACACTGGCGACAGTGGCTTATGATGAATGCCATTGTGGTCTTGGTGGACTTGGTGGATTTGAATCTCGAGCCGCCTTTCCGCGAGCACGGCCGGCTGTTCGGCAATGTTCATCGGGAACAAAGTGGCTTGAAAGTCGAGGCGGGAGACGCGGACGCAGCGGACGTACTCGTCCGGCGGCAGGTCCACCGTCACATCACTCTCGGCATCGCACTCTAGCAATGCATGGGCCCCAAACAGACTCCACAGACCCCGCTTGGTGCTGCTGTCCGAATCTAAGACACAATAGGAGGTCACTATCTCGAGGGAGATACATGGATGACGACGTACTAGACGAGACAATCACATGGCCTTGCAAGACGATCACGCAGCCATTCGTGGCCTTGCCTTGGGTCAAAAGCTCAGCGTGGGGACTGTCTTGAGCTCGAAATTCCAGCAAGTGGCTCTGACTGAGCAGGTTGGACACCTTGGCCACGTCCAACGGTACACCTACCAGAATGAACACATGTCTGTAAACCGAGGGAATATATATATTGCCAGGATGTACCGTTTGCATCCGGCGTAAGAAACACGGGCTCTGACGCTACCAAATACTTGGCCAGTGCATCTGCCTGCACGTACAGTTAGTTGTCAACTGGCACATGTCGTTATGTCGAGGGAATATATATATAGCGTGTATTTATTACCTCTGGTTTGGCCAGCTTTTTCGTGCGGTCGTCGTCCAAGATGACGCGGTCCACGCCCGTGTCGTAGCTGCGGTGGCTCAGGCGGTTCTTTCGAGTCACATCCGCATCGATCTGGTCGCTTTCATCGTAAATGTCAGCCTGCAGAATCTCCTCGACAATGTCTTCCAGCGTCACAATGCCCTTGGTTTCATAGAACGGATCTCCCTATACAAACAAATATATCAATACAATATATATGGTGGATTACAAGTATCGAATCACACAAGTCGAATCGACGACGCGATTGGCTAAAAATCCAATTTTGACTAGATCTGATTGGCTCGTACAGAAATAACGACACATGGGGTATATATATTCAACCAATCAAAGAAATCCAGCGTTTTACGCCAACAGATAGTTTCCCACGTATCAGGGACTCGGCTATAGAGAAAGCGTACCGGTCCAGCGTTATTGACGTCGTGTACCAAGGCCAAATGGGTGCGGCCCATCTTGAACGCTTGCAGTACATCGCCGAGCGTCGAGTCTGGCCACACCCGGTGCACCCCCCGACCAAACACATGCACGAAATGCAGCAATGTGGTTTCTTCTGCTGGGTCGGCAAAGATCAAGTCTTTTACAAAGATCAGCCCCACAATGTCGTGAATGTCCTTGTGGTACACTGGAATGCGGCTGTATCCTTGCTGGTAAATGTGGCGGATAGTCGCGAGCGTGAGTTTGGTGGTTGTGGGCAGCGAGTACACTTGGTCGATGGGGGTCATAACGCTGGCTACGACCTTGGCTTTAAAGTGCATCGCGCCTCGCATGATGTCGGTCTCGTCCGCGTCCAGCAGGTTTTGCTTGACATGGATATCGAGCATCTTTCCAATCTAATCAACACATGGGGGTTTAGAATATATATATATATAGAAACGATCCTTTTGTATATGTTCAAATTAAAAAGCAATAATTTATAGATGTTATAAAAACGGAAAAAAATTAAAGCAGCTTTCGATTTTTCAATTCGAAATAAATTCGACATTCGAGTTGTCAGACAATCGATCGACCAATGAAAACCCAGAACACGAAAATCAAGTGGCCAATCACAAAATTCTAACTCACCCATCACCCATATTCGTGTGTGAATGAAATGTATTTGTGTGTGCACACAGTATATATATATATATATATATGAAACTTGGATTTATGTTTTAAAATAGAATAATTAGATTTCATCAATATTTTAGTAATAAAATTGACCTAATGTTTCAATATTTGTAATTGAATCAAACAAGTGAGATACCTCCCTCCATATTATGACCTGAAACAAGGATAATCCATATGTACTACCTCTCTTTTCGTGAACAAGTTGCCAATTTCCCGGCCGAGCATCCAGTCCAACACCAACGCAATGGGTTTGGCAATCACATATAGCACCACGACAAAGAACCACACGATGGGCAGCGACTTTGCCCCGATAACTACACCAGATATATGGCATTCCAATATGAATGAATGAATCAATGGAGGTTACAGAGTGGATGGCGGGAGCACAGCGCTTGTGGGAGGAGTTCGCCAAAGAGAACGAGCACCACAGTGGAAATGAGAAACCCCGTGACCCCTACAGAACGAGTTGGAGAGACTGATGTAAGGACGGACACTAAGAACCTGACGTCATATCCGCGAGCATAATCGACAAGATGGTGTTGACCGAGACGTTGGCAATGAGCAGAGACGTGAGAAGCAGGTGGCCGTCCTGGCGCACGTTTTGGATCTTCTTGGCGTACTTGGCGTTGGTCTTTTCGTCCTCGGTCGCGTGGGCGTCTTCGCCGGCGTCCACGACGATCTGCAGCCCAAACTTGTCCAGACACATGAGGCCCAGCGTCAGCCCTGAAAACAGCGCCGCGAGGAGAACGAGGAGCACGACCAGGGCCACACGGAGCACCTGTTCCTCGGTCGGCAGCAAGTCGAACGCATTGTCGTCCAAGTGGCGGCGGCTCACGTCCATGGAAGGGTGGTTTGTGGTGGGGGAGTGAGTGAATCTGTACTAACGCCAGAGTGAAGCTGGCATGTCGCAGATGAGCAAGTCCTCACCACTCACAAATGAACTATTTTGAGCGGATTTTGGCAGGGACAGAGCAGGTTGTAACAGTGAGCATGTCGCAAATGACCACCATTCTGACAATACGTTGCGTTGATTGGCTGGACGAGGTTGCTGTTTGCTTATCCGGCTTGGTGATTGGTGAATCAATCGCAAGCCCAATATATAACCATTGGCGTAGTAATATCGACTTGTTTCAGCGCAAATTATTAGCTTGACCTGCGCAAATTATTAGCTTGACCTGTGGTAGGCTGGACATTCTAACGCTAAACGTTATCGGTAGACTGGCATGTGACTAGTTACACCTGACGATACGTATGTACTTGAAGGTAGTTAGGAGCAATTCAACATTGTATTACGTAGCATGAACGTACAGTAGTCAGTGTAAGGCATGTAACGTTCGGTGATACTAGTATATTGCATGCAATCGGTTGATAGAAATGACCACATTGGCAAGTTGATGTACCGTAACGGTCCATAAACGTAGATATGTTATTGCTGTTTATATTCATCTTGATGAATGTGCCACTGTTGCTTCATTGCTCTATTCATAGAAGATCGTGAACGTGACTGTTCACACGGATCTCAATAACTCGAGTGTCCTTCTAAATATATCAAATCAAAGCGTTTTATACTATGGATTTGTATTTCTATCTTTACGACTGAATACGTAAATACAAAGTACAAGCTAACACTTGTTTAGAATGTAGTGATTTATCCTTTCACCATGTGAATCCTGTTCGCTCTGGCGGCCCGACCCATTTCCGTGCCAACGATTGGCTCGTTGACGAGCACTCCATCCACCAGTCGTCGAGCAACCTTGGCGAGCTATTGAACTCAACTTGCATTGACCTTCGTCTGCGATGACCCGTGTCCACACGCAGAGCCGCATATTGCAGACCTTCCGGGCGCTTGGCGTGGTTGCTTCCGACGTGCCGGTGGCGTACTCCCGCGCTGGCTTCATCACGGCTGCCATCGGCAAGAGCTTCCAGGTGTACGAGACCGAGAAGCTCACGCCCGTGGCCGTGTCGGCGCAGCTGCCCAAAAAGATCCGAGCGCTCACGACGGTGCTACACAAGAACCAGACGTTCTGCGCCGTCGGCCGGGACATCCACGTGTTTGAGCGAGTGAAGGAGACCACCATCCTCCAAGGTCACTCGGCGCCGATCACACACTTGCTGGCCGTGGGCGAGTACTTGTTTTCCACGGGCGAAGATCACACCATGCGTGTGTGGAGCACTCTGTACGTGTGCCAGCAACTTGCTGAGAAACGGACTCACGGTTTCTCCCTTGTATAGGACTCTGGAATTGGTCAACTCGATCGAGTTTGCTGACAACTTTACCCCCACCGTGTTATTGCATCCAGCAACGTACTTGAACAAAATTGTGGTCGGGTCGGCCCAAGGCGAGCTGCAGCTGTGGAACGTGCGCACGTTAAAGTGCATTTACTCGTTCAAGGTATACATACATTTATACACGATGCAGACGACGTTAACAACCGTTTTGTATTTCCAGGGCTGGGGCTCCGAAGTCACCAGCGTCGCGCAGAGTCCGGCGGTGGACGTGGCGGCAATCGGGCTCGCCGACGGACGCATTTTCGTGCACAATCTCAAGTTTGACGTAACGCTGATGCAGTTTGCCCAGCCAACGGAAGGTCGGGTGACGTCGCTGTCGTTTCGAAATGACGACAAGTCTCCGTGGCTGGCGTCTGGTACGTCGTTAACGCCTGTTTTGAATTCCGGGACTCAGTATATATATATTATACTCACGTTGCTTGTAGGCACGTCGTCGGGTGATGTGATCTTGTGGAACTTGGAAACCCAGCGATTGCAGGCGAAAATCCCAGTCGCGCACGACGCAGACGTGGCCACCGTGCTGTTTTTGCCATCGGAACCGGTGTTGCTCACGTCGTCCGGTGCGTTAAGATCTGTTTTGATTTGCCCGACTCTTGCAATATATATTAACATTTCGTAGGCGACAACAGCATCAAGCTGTGGATCTTTGACCAACTCGACCAAACGGCACGTCTCCTCAAATCGCGCCAAGGCCACAAAGCCCCCCCAACCACAATCCGATACTACGGCCACGATATTCAAAAGGTATCGAAAAACAAAAATTATTTTTTCTGACAAATACATATATATATTAATATTTTTTTTGTTAGGACGGGATGGTGTGTCAGATTCTGTCGGCGTCGCAAGATCGGTCGTTCCGGCTTTTCCACACAGCGCGCGAACAGCAAAGTGCCGAATTGAGCCAGGGACCACTGCTGAAAAAAGCCAAACGGCACTATGATTTTAAATTGTCGCCGATTGTGCAGTTGGCGGCGATTGATACCCGTGAAAAGTACGTCGAGGTGTTTGAAATGGATTTTAAATGTTTTTTTTTTCACCTCTAGAGACTGGCCCAACGTCGTCACGTGCCACGTGAATGAACCGGCGGCGTATGTGTGGTCGATTAACCGAAAGGCCATTGGGAAAAAGGTGCTGCGTCAGATTGACGACAATTTGTACGACGAAGCCGTGCACCACCACTACAAAGCCACGGCCGTGGGCATCAGGTAAATATATATATATATATATATATGTATTGTCCGGTCAGCATGATTTGGAGATTTGGGTTGATTTGCCGAATCTATCGATGTGTTGTGTACTGAATTTTTTGTGTGGGACGAGGTCTCGCCGTTCCCACGAATTTCTTGCACAGTTGACGGGAGCGTGTTTTGATTGGCTACTTGATTCGTGTAATGGGTTTGATTGGTCAATTGATATTGTCTGCCGATATAGTCTCGTGTTCCAATTTCGAAGGCACAATCTCGTATTTAACTACATAGGGCAATTAGAATGTTTTAACTCTATATTTATTTTATTTATTTTCGGTATTTTAATAATAGTAGTTCACTTTTGTGCTTAAAACTTGGTATATTTTAACTATAAATGTCCTGTAGTTCGTGCGGCAACTTTGCCCTGGTGGGTTCACAAGGCGGGGCAATCTACCTATACAACATGCAATCCGGCGAAAAGCGCGGGTCGTTCCCGACGGCGGCGACGGACGCCCCCAAGCTCATCAAATCGCTGACGCTTCCAGGGGCATCTTACGTTTCCAAGGCAACCGACGGGTCTCTAGAGGACAAACACACGGCGGCTGTGACGGGTGTGGCGGTGGACGTGCTCAACGAGACGGTAGTGTCGACTTCGCTGGATGGACTGGTGAAATTCTGGTCATTTTCGAGCCATTCGGTCGTCGGGACGCTGGATCTGAAGAGTCCGATCACGCAAATAGAGCTGCACAAGGAGAGCGGGCTAGTCGCAGTCGCGTGCGATGACTTTGTGGTGCGCGTGGTGGACTTGTCTACGAAGAAGGTGGTCCGCCAATTGAGAGGCCATGTCCACCAGGTCACGGACGTGACGTTCAGTCCGGATGCGCGGTGGCTCGTGACTAGCGCCGCCGACGGCAGCCTCCGCGTGTGGGATCTCCCCACGGGTAAATGCATCGACTTTGTCAAGTTCAAACATGCTGTGACCAGTCTGAGTATGTCCCCCACGGGTGAGTTTATCGCCACGGCGCACACGGGCCAAGTGGGCATTTACCTGTGGGCGAACCGGTCGTACTTTGAAAATGTGTTTGTCGACAAGGAACCGACCGACGCGATTGCCATGGGCATGCCGGTGCCGCTGAGCGAGGAAGAGATGCCGCTGGACGTGCACGTCGAGACGGCGGCGGCAGAAGAGGACCGAGTGGGGCACCAGACGTCGTCGTCTGGGGCATCCGACTTGTTTGAGTCGCCGATCGGCACGTCGACGGGGCTTGTGACGCTGTCCACGGCGCCCAAGGCCATGTGGCAGTCGCTGTTCCAGCTTGAATTGATTAAAAAGCGCAATAAACCCAAACAAGCCCCCCAAGCCCCCCCCCTAGCCCCCTTCTTTCTCCCCACCGTACGCAAAGAAGACGTCCACCCTACCTTCGAGTCGCACGGGGTCGCGCCGACTAAAAAAACCAAGAAGACCAACGCTAGTACTACTAGTAGTAGTAGTACTACGACTACTACGAACCCCGAGTCGACAGTGGACGAGGCGCCCATGGCTGGCTGGGGGGGGCCCGACGACGACCAAGCGTGGGGCGACGACGACGACGATAACGATGTGACGGACAACAACAAGTCGACCCTCCTCTCTGGGTCTTCTCGCATCGTCAAGTCCTCCGGGCTGACTTCATCGCGGTCTAAGTTGGCAACATTGCTGGAGTTAGCATCGACGGAGCCCAGTCTGCCAGTTGAAGGCGGCAGCGCCACGGCTTACAAGCCGCCTCCGGTGCTCGCGTACCTCCAGAGCCTATCGGCGAGCGGCGTGGACGTGGAGCTGAGCACGCTGTGCATGGGCGAGTTCGACGAGGAAGGCAAGCGGCACTTGACCTGGTTCCTAGACTTCCTTGTGGATATGGTGGCCCACCGCCAGCAGTTCCAAGTCGTCCAGGTGTACTTGAATCGGTTCGTTAAAGTGCACGAGGATATTGTAGTGGGTGACGCGGCGTTGCTGGCCAAGGTGCAGACGTTGCACACGTTGCAGCAACAGGCGTGGGAACACCTCCAGCAACTATTGCAACACAACTTGTGCTTGGTTCAGTACCTGAGTAAAATGCAAATGTAATACCAGCCCACCCTCGATTTATATATATAAAGATGTCGACATGGCTGACTGACTGACGGGAGCTTGGAGTGATATTTCCTGATGTGTAATACTACTCTGTAGTAATATATTATTAGTACAAGTATTATTAGTAGAAGTATTAACAATATAGTAACGTGGCCGACATTGACAAGTGCCGATTGTCCAATACTGCATAACGTTAGTAATAATGGTATTAATTGTATAAATAGTATTTATTACTAGTAATACTACTATTAATATAGTAGTACTATGTACTACGTAATAGTACTTCGAATTATTTATATGGATTTCAAATATCCGTGATAGTATCATTAATATTAGGTCATATCCTAATTGAGAGTAAATTAAGATTATGCTAGGGTATCCAAGGTTTGTATTAATATTCAATGCAGTCCCATAAGTCTCAATTATTTACTAGTATAATATAAGTGATAGTAAATACTTCGTAGTATTAATACTACTTCGACGGACAGTTTCAAGGATCGTACTTAAGGAATACGAGGAAACGTTGACGATCGGATGCAAGTCAGTAGTAGTACAGAACGATGTCGAGCGTGGCACGGGCTCCTAGCTATGGCTCGGTGACTTCGTCCGACCTAACCAGCAGTGCGCATGAGCATGCAGCGACGAAGTCGACTGACGTGACCAGTCGCACCCGCCCTCCGCTTCACCAGAACCGGTTCAGCTTTACGCGGTCCCCTGTGCCGAGCAACCACGGTCAACCGACGACGGACATAAACGCCAACAACCCATTCGTGGCGTTAACGCCGTGGTCGGAGGTTTCCACGTACGAAGTGTGCAAGATGGTCCTCATGTGCATCTTCCTCGTCCCGGTGCTTCGCGTGGCGTTGTGTGTGCTGCTGTTCGTCCCCATCGTGGTTCTGGCCACGATCAGCACGGCAGGACACCGCCCGTTCAACGAACATGGCGCGCCGGTTCCATTGGCTCGCTGGCGTCGCGTCGTAGGCGTCCCCATCAAGTGGCTCATCCGATGCGTGTTGTTCGTGCTGGGGTACTACTACATCCCCGTGACAAAGCCAGCGCAAACCAGCCAGGTCAAACCCAGAGTCATTGTGGCCAATCACAGCACGTACATTGACGGCATCTTCCTCGCTGCGTACACCCACGGCAGGTACACATCCATCACCCTATTCTTCCCATGTTATATATATCTAATTGATTGCAGTGTGGCCATGATGAAGGAAGTGGCCGACTTGCCGTTGATTGGGCCCGTGATTCGATCCCTGGACCCGATCTTGATTGAGCGGCGGTCCGAACTCGGGCGGAAGAAGGCGCTGGACGACATCCACGAGCACATGGTCAACCAAGCCTTTCCGCCGCTCGTGATCTTTCCCCAAGGGATGACCTGCAGCCAGCAATTCATCACCAAGTTCAAGAAGGGTGCATTCGCCGAAGGGTTGCCCGTCCAGCCAGGTATAAACCACCGATCGCATTGAAAGTAAGTTGGATATGTGCTGTCTAGTGCTGCTGCGGTACCCGTACAAACATCTGGATATTAGCTGGTTCCCCAGTGTGAATGTGATTCCGCTGTTCTTTCGCCACTTGTGCCAGTTCCGCATGTATTTGGAAGTGACGTTCCTTGAGCCGTATGTCCCGACATCTGAAGAAGCCAAGAACCCAGACTTGTACGCAGAGAACGTTCGTCAAGCGATGGCCGCCGCGCTGCCGGCTAAATGCACCAACCACTCCTTTGAAGACGTTCGTCTGCTGCTTCAAGCTGGAGTTGGGGAGTACGCTCGCCAGCATATTATCAACCACACCACGGTATATATATATATATATATTGTGGATTCGATACGAATTTCCAGACCCCGTCGAATCGAATCACGAATCATTGACGCTATTGGCTCATCCAATTTTTAGTGGATTTGATTGGCTCTTACAGAAAGGATAAGTATATGCAACCAATCACAACTCCAGCGTGATTCAATATTGAGTCGACAAACCACGCGAATTTTTTGCAAGTTTAGAGCGAATTCACGATATATATATATAGCCTTTGAATATCGTCCATATATGCAACAAGGAAGCGATAGCTTAGTTTTCATATATGATCTGTAGATATAAATGTCTTGTTTCTGTACATATACATTATATATAGCTTTTGAATATGGTCCATATAAGCACGGAAACGATAGCTTTTTTCCAAATATGATTTGCAGATATACATGTCTTGTTTCAATATATATATATATATATATAATATATTCCCAGTGTGATTTCTATATAACTTTTGCTTGGATTAGGTTGGCGAAGTGTACAAATTGATGCATCTATCCCATGACGAAATTGAAAGCCTCGTGCGTCACTTTGCCTCTATCGATACGGATCACGACGGTCGCATCAGCTTGACCGACCTGCAAACTCTCTTTGACGAGTGTCCGTTATTTGTCCAGCGGTACGAGACCATGTATATATTATCTGCTTAATATTTCACTAATATTATTGGCACAGGCTATTTGATTTGCTAGACGCTGACCAGAACGGCCGCATCGATTTTCGGGAGTTGTGCATTGGGTTATCGTCGCTAAACCAACCCAAAAAGGACGATAGTCCCGCCGAAGAGTACCGAGATCGCCTCGCTCGGTTTGTGTTTACATTGTACGACGCAGACAACAGCGGCCTTTTAAGTCGACTGGAATTGGTGGCCATGCTCAAGCAGCTGCGGTCGACTTCAGGACTTTACGACGACCAAACAGCACTGGACCAGCTCGTGGCTGCGTTTGACGAAGATTTGGACGGGGCGTTCTCCGTGCATGAGTTTATCCGACTCACAGAACATCACCCGGAATTGCTTGATCAAGTCGTGGAGCGACTAGCAGTGTTCAAGTCGGCGACTGGAGGCAAAGCGTAAGAAATGACTACTAGACTAACAATAAAGATGGTTCGTGTTGTATGACAAGAGTGTTAGCAGACAGAAATTGAGCGCATTTATATTGGACAAGGCGTAGTCGTGTACTAATGTGCACCGAAGCTGCACGACAGGTTACCGCTCCAAATAACCACCATGGATTGTATTAATATAATATATTAACTAACCCTTACCACAAAGATACTGTAGCTCGACAAACGATGCCGTCAAGTCGTACCGTCGGCTGCTTGCCGTTATAACTATTTGTCCCAGTATTGTGATATTTCGCTCTAAACTTGCAAAAAATTCGCCTGGTTTGTCGAATCAATATTGAATCACTACTGGAGTTCTGATTGGTTGAATATACTTATCCTTTCTGCAAGAGCCAATCAAATATATCCACTCAAAAATGGATGAGCCAATAGCGTCCATGATTCGTCTTTCGATTCGGCGGATTCGTCTGGAAATTCGTATCGAATCCACAATATAAAGTCGACGACTTACTTTACTATATCGTCGGATATGTCTGCAGAACAAGTCAGCAAAAAAAACGATGCAATCCCGACTAGAGTGGAATAATACACTGTGTAGTTAGTTTGGTTTGTTGAACGATTGAACACTGCAATATTACGCCAGCCAAAATATCCAGTGCAATATTAAATCTCACAGTGAAACAGCCTGGCAAAGTCGTGGTCGCGGGATTGAATGTTGCGATATCCCAGCAAGTGCACGTGTCGGCAAAACGTATCTAGGCGCAAATCCACGGGAACTCGACGCAAGTTCACGTGCCAGTCGAGTTGGGCTTCGTCTTCTAACGACACAAACTCGCCCGTCCGCTGGGTAAAGCTCTGCGACACGACAAACAAGCACCGCATGATGGTGATTGTCGGCGCCACCCGCTCCAAGACCACCCTGGCGGCCATTCATATCATGTTTTATATGACGTTAGAAACTGCCTTCAATATTCTCGATTTGATAGTACAAATGTGGGAATGGGGAGGTGCAATCGAATCGCGCAAACCGATCCACAATCGATCTGATTGGTTGTTGAATTTCAGTGAGAAGGTTTTGATTGGCTAATAATGTTGAGCTCTTCTGAAGTAGCCAATCAAATCGATTTAAATTACGCCACCACACAATGAAATTTCACTCAAAAGCACAATATATATATATATATATATTAATACCAGGTCAGACTCTTGCTGTCAGTGTTCTTTGATGGCAGCTTTTCATCGTCGGGAATGTTCTGCGTGACCAAAATGCACCGATTGTCTTCTTGAAAGATCCGACACAGCCGAGTCGTGCCGGCCTGGGTGTGTGCCGTCAAGTCGATCACGACATCGTATGTCATGGAGTCGGATAAGCTCGACGTGGCCTACGGTGAGTGACGATGGACTACGACGAATACTCTATCTGTCGTCGAGCTACGAATAAGACTGGGCATGTACCTCAACGTCCAGAAACTGTTTGACTTTGTAGTGCACTTCCAGTTGCTCCAACGAAGCGCCAGATTGAAAGTACGATTTCGCAAGTGGAAGCGCACATTCCAGCGGCAAGTTCAGTTCCAGCTGGTATCGCTGGATGTAGTTGAGAGCGTCGGGATGGGACGTGTCCACGGTGATATCGGCGAGTCGGGAATATGGCGTTCGAGAAGGGAACGCGTACTTTTCCAGCAGCTGGTCGGTGTTGTGGTACATCACTTGGGTGAGCCAGTCCAGGCCGTGCCGTCGAGCTTCGGGATGGGCGTGTAGACGTACGCGGTGGAGGCGGAGGTTCGAAGCAAGCCATGTCCCGGTTGGGGAGCTCTACACCAAAACGTGAGTTGGAGAAGCAGACACGTTTAGAGTACACCTGAACGACGGTCGAGTTGACCATGTCCCGCAACAGCACCGTGAGCGTGTGGTATTCGCGAAGGCGTTTCTTGAGCATGCGATTGTGATGTAGTGACTCGACAGCGCCGTCGTGGAGCCCTGTCGCAGTGTCCTGCCACGACACCAGACTCGACCGAGGCAGGCGGGAGAGGCGACCCAGCTCTGCTTCCAGTTCGCTCGCGCGGGTCTTGAGATACGTGTGCACTTGCTTGTCCTGGCGGTAGTATGCCTTCTTTTGGATGTTGCGACGGGACTTGCGCTGCAGACGCACATCCAGCATTGCCACCAATGCCGCCGTGTCCTCGTCGCGGAAGGTCACTTCCATGAGTAGTTTGTTAATTACTTGGAAACGTTTTCGGCTTTAGATTACTTGCAAGAACTAAAGGTATAATTGATTGATTTAATATAATATTCGGGGTTGTAGCTCACATGGTAGAGCGCCCGCTTCGCATGCGGGAGGTACAGGGATCGATACCCTGCTGCTCCACTTTTTCGTTCATGATTTTGTTACCCTACAATAGTGTCACTCGTGGCCAGGGCCATTCATGCTATGGATGGTGTGCATACTAGTATGCGCGTTTTCACTGTTCGAACGGTAAACTTCTGGATGGGGAGACAGTGTGCTATACACTTCAAGTACTGGTACAGTTTGCAGCACATGATTAACGTTAAAGTGCAATCTTAAACGCTGCAGGATCCAGGTAGAATACACCGGTACAATGTGATGATGATGGTCACCATACCAGAGATATCCAGTGCTGTTGACACTAGAGTATGGTCAGCCCATGTTGCAGTGCTAATTGTATATAATTCCAGCTCAACCTCCGGGCTGACAAAAATGTGCTAGGAGTACAATTAGGTACTATTAACGTTACAACCACATTGAACTCAATCCATCATACAGTGTACGTACATGCACATTGAACACGACGTTGTAATTTCATGGTGTGGATCATTATTCAATCTGCCGCCTCTGTCCAAATCTCACTCGCAACCCAACCTCCATCGATGACGACCGCTCAAGACTCTTTCACGGGCGTCCTCGACGACCGCAACTCGGGACTCGCCATCCAATTCGGAGGTCAAGGCAACGACTACATGGACGAACTCAGTCGAGCCGTGCACTCGTCAGCGTCGGCGCGACAGTTTGTTCAGCTGGCTCAGTCCATTTTGGAGGCAGAAGCCAACGGAACCCCCTACTCCTGTCTCCATCCGTTCTTGTGGTCGCAAGATCCTACGTCTCGTCCGTCCAGGTCGACCTTGATGGCGGCGCCGGTGAGTTATCCGTTGGTGTTTTTGACTCAAGTAGCCACGTACTTGGCGTTTGTCGAAGCCAGCGGGTGGTCACACGAGGCGTTCCTTCGTCGGCTACGAGGGGCCACAGGCCACAGCCAGGGCGTGGTCGCAGCGGTCCTCTTGGCGTCAGCCACCACGTCCACCGAGCTGATTACGCTCGGCCTTCAATACCTCCGGCTTATGTTTTGGCACGGCGTTCGTGCCCAAACAGTGTTTGACTCGTTCGGAAGTTCTGGCAACAAACCCGCCGCCGCGACGCCCATGCTACAGGTGCGAGGGTTGCCAGAATCCACTGTCCGATCCTCTGTTGATGCCTTCAATACTCGACTCGGTGGAGATTTGGTGCAAGTGTCGCTCGTGAACGATCCTGTGGCTGTCGTGGTGACTGGCTTGTCGCAGTCGTTGGGCGTTTTCCACGCCACATTGGACGGTCAGCAACATGTCGATCCGATTCGACTGGATTTCTTGTCCGTGTCTTGTGCTTTTCACAGTTCATTGCTGGCCCAAGCTCAAAGTCTGGTGGAAGCCGATGCTGCTCGTCTCCATCTGGCTGTGCGCGGTAACGCGTTGAACTGTCCAGTGATTGGCACCACAGCCAAAGCCATCAATCTTCAGTCGTATGGCGAATCCAATGTGATTCCACTCTTGATTCAAATGCAACTGACCGACGCAGTGAATTGGCCCGTGGTGACATCCGCCTTGCAATCCATTCCCGGGGTCACACACGTGCTGGACTTTGGGCCTGGCCGGGGCACCCCGTTGCTCCTTCATCGCGACATTCAAGGGCTTCGTGTCCATTCCATCTTGCATCAACCGACGGAACAAGCAACGCGAATGTCCGACATGGAGACTCAAGTCGCCATGACTTGGTCAACCATTCTGGACACGGACGTGGCGTTGATTCATGCCAAGTCGTCGTTCTTTGATCTTGGCGGCGACTCGCTTTCGGCGATTCAAGCGGTGGCCGAATGCAATGAGCTGGGGTTGCATCTTACGGTGGCTCAATTTTTACGAGATCCCATCCTTGGCCGCGTTGCCAGAGCTAGAAACGACAAGCCCGAGCGGAAGAAGTGGCCATCTGCTGCCATATTGTCCTGCAACACGATTTACAAGTGCGCAAGGGGGCTGGACGATGTCATCGTGTACCCCGTGACGCCCATGCAAGGCGGCATGTTGGCTGCGACGTCTGTCCACCCGAGTGCAAATGTCCTGCAAGTGACGCTGAAACTGTCGGCGCCTACGACCCAATCATCGTTCGAGAGTGCCTTTCGAATGGTGGTGGCCCAGAACGCGATTCTTCAAACCACGTTCTCTTCGACTGAACATGGCATGTTCCAAGTCCATCCTACGACTCCCCGACCTGGTGGCGCTAGCATCGTGGCTTCGCCTTCCAATATCTCCTTGGGCGAGTACCTCCAAGCCGACCTAGCGCGGGGATTTCAACTGGACGACTCGACTTTCATTCGGCTCGCCATGCTTTGTCCGCCCACTTCGACTGATGTTTATGGGGTGATCACCATCCACCACGCTTTGATCGATGGCTGGTCCATGGACTCGTTTCTGTCGGATTTGCTGAACGTGATGGACCGACAATCCGTCGCCCGTCGTCCTTCGTTCCGCACTGTCGTCGACTACATCGAAGCTCAAGACAACCAAGCGTCGGCAGCATTTTGGCGTGCTTATCTTGGTGGTTTCACTCCCCATGGCCTCGAGTTTGTTGCCCCCACATCCACCATCACCGAGGCTAGGTATCCCCTAGTATTGACGAATTCAGTAACGTCGACGCAATTGGCTCACGCAACCTCTCGTGCCGGGGTGAGCATCGCGGAATTGACCACGTTTGCCTGGGCTGCCACGCTGCGCAAGTTCACGCGGCAGTGCGACGTAGTGTTTGGCCAAGTTCTCGCAAATCGGCAAATTCCAGTCCACGATGCCCAACGGTACGCGTTGCCATCCTCCAGACATCCAGAATTTTGATATATTTGAACGTGATGTAGGATTCTTGGGCCGTTGCTGAGCACGGTGCCTTGCCGCGTCCATTTCAACGACAAGACGCATTTGGAAGCGGCATTACAAGCCGTTCAAACCACGCGTCCGTCCATCGCTGGATATTCCCATGTCGGTCTGAGCGACATTGCGAAAGCGTGTGGCGAGTTTGCACCACATCAACTCTTCGACACGTTGTTTGGGTTCCAGCAGTGGCCTCGACGAAGGACGTTGGCTGGAGTGGAAGTCATCGAGTCTTGGAAGACAGCATGGGGCGCGACGTCCCAGAACTTTTTGTTTGAGTTGCTGGTGGAGCCCACCAACGTGGTTGACATGCCGTTGACCACGTCGGCGCATTTCCTGCCTACGAAAATGTCACGGAATCAAGCAAAGTCGTTGCTGGACGAATTCGACTATACGCTATTCCAGCTTTGCGACATCCTCGGACCAGACGCGGAGCCACCTGCGACTGCCGCGGACTTGTGGTCGTTGAGTTTTGCCCAGATGAACTTGATCACGGCTGCATCGTGTGGACCTGAAGTCCCTCTGTCGTTCGAGCTGCTCCATCATGGATTCGAATATCATGCCAGGCAGTCACCAGACCTTCGAGCTGTGGAGTTTGACGGACACTGGTTATCGTACGGTGAATTGAATGCCCAAGCTAACGCCGTGGCGAGGCAGTTGCAAACGTTGGGTGTGACGGTGGGATCTCGCGTGGCTGTGGTCATGGACCGTTGTTTGGAGTTTCCCATCGCTCTACTGGCGACGCACAAGACGGGGGCCTCCACGATTCCAATGGATGCCTCCTTTCCTGCCACTCGTCTGGCGTTCATGCTGTCGGATGCAGGTGCCCACGCCATCCTTTCCACCAATAGACATTGCGACATGGCAAAGACTTTGGACGCATCCATCGACGTCGTTTCCATTGAATCGGCTACGTTAGCCAAACATGCACATCCATTTACTCCTCTGCAAACGGCTACCAGACACGACGAAGCGTATGTCGTGTATACATCTGGCTCCACCGGCCACCCCAAAGGTGTACCTGTAAAACACGTTGGAATTGTGAATTCAGCGACATACCGCTCGTCCGACCTTGGCATCGTCCGAGGAGCTCGCGTGATGCAGTTTATGGCCATCGGGTTTGATGTGTGCCAATGGGAAATTTGGAGCACTCTGTCGCAAGGTGCCACGCTGGTACTTCGAGGTGGCGACGAGATCGACATGCTTTCGACAGTAAACGTTATAGCCATTACTCCCACCGGCCTTTCCAAGCTTGGCTGTCCGACAAAGTACCCGAATCTGAAAACGGTTTGTGTCGGTGGTGAAGCCATTCCAACTTCGGTGAAAGACCTCTGGAGCCAGCATGTTCAACTCTTCAACTGCTATGGCCCAACCGAAGGCTCTTGTACCACGCACGTACATCAGTTGTTGCCTGGCAAACCAGTAACTATCGGTACACCAATTTCAAACGTCCACTGCTACATCCTCGACGACAACCATCAAAACGTACCGATCGGAACTCTGGGTGAAATGTACTTGGGTGGTATCTGTGTGGCATCTGGCTACATCAACTTGCCGGAAATGACGGAAGAGCGATTCTTGGTGGACCCCTTTGGCCATGGCCGAATGTACAAGACAGGGGATCTGGGTCGTCTGCTGCCCAATGGCCAATTCGAAATCGCTGGCAGACAAGACAGTCAGGTCAAGTTGAAGGGCTACCGCATCGAGTTGGACGAAGTGGCCAATGCCATGATGCAGCACCCATCGATCAAGTCGGCCGCTGCCATTGTCAAGGACAAGACGCACCTCGTGGGGTACTTCACGCCTGCACATGTCAACGTGGACGCGTTGAGACAGTGCGTGGCCGACCAGTTGCCAGTGTACATGGTGCCAGCCGTGTGGGTTGGCTTGGACGACATGCCCCAGAATTCCAACGGAAAGATCGACGTGAAAGTTCTGCAGTCCATGGACGTGAGCGTCGACGTCGAAACGTTGGAGACAGACGTGGAGCTCAAAATGGCCACAGTGTGGGCAAACGTGCTTGGCGTGAACGTGTCTGAGATCGGTCGCCAGTCGTCCTTCTTCGCGTTGGGAGGCGACTCGTTGTCTGTTGTCCGAGTCATCGCAGCGTGCAAAGCCATGGGGTTGGCGTTGTCCGGTGGCCAAATGACCAAAGAAATGCTGCTGTGGCGAGTGGCGAAGGCTGTGTCAACGCATCGCCAAGTGGATTGGCCAAGTGCGATGGCTCTAGAAGCAACGAAAGTGTCTGTGGAAGCGGAATGGCCTCACGTTGTCAACTGGCCGAGTTGTGTCTCTATTGAGTCTGGCTACACACTTTATATG